AAATAAAATCTTTAAAAAAAAATTAATTAAATTAGAACTAACAATTAAGTAGATAAAGCTAACAATAAAGCTGGAGAAATCAGAATATAGAAAGTCAAGGAGATGGAAAATATGAGCCATGAATTCAACATGTGACAGGAGACTGAATCAGAGTTCCAGAAAGAATGGGGAAAACAGAAAGAAGGAAATATAGAATAGAAAAAATGTCCTAGAAGTAAAGGTAGACTTGAGGTTTCATTTTGAAACGCATAATCAAATGTCAAAAATAATGAAAAAAAAGAACCACAATAGACATACTGCCATATATGTCCAGAACACCAAGGACAAAGATCCTAAATCTTTTGGAAAGAAAGAAAATGTTATTTACAAAAATATCTCATCAACCAAACTGGTTGCTAGAAGATGAAAGCAGAATGCCTTCAAAGTCCTGGAGAAATTACGGGGCGCCTGGGTGGCTCAGTCAGTTAAGTGTCTGACTTCGGCTCAGGTCATCCAGGGTCCTGGGATCGAGTCCCACATCGGGCTCCACACTCAGTGGGGAGTCTGCTTCTCGCTCTCCCTCTCCTTCTGCCCCTACCCCACTCTGTGCTCCCTCTCTCTCTCTCATTCTCTCAAATAAATAAATCTTCAAAGTGCTGGAGAAATTAATTCGATCCTAGAATTCTGCACTAAGCCAAAGTCTCAAGTGTATCCGCATAATAAAGACATTCTTAAGAGCACAGCTTCCTTCCTACATAACCTTATTTAAAAAGGTACTTGAGGATTTACTCCAGGGAAAAACGGGGGGGGGGGGATTCCAAGAATACTGATGACACTGGATCCAAAAAACAGTAGATCTAACCCAGAAGCACAAAGAAAAGAAATTCCCAGATGATTGCTCTGAGAAGGTCTAGAAAAAAAATTAGTCCTGATCAGAACATAAAGTCAGCGAACTCTGGAAAGGATCTTGTAAAGCAGATTTTATTGAACAGATAATATGACTGATTAATAAGCTAAAATATGTTAAGTGATAAGGTTAAGAAAAAAGGCATTTGTTTTGCCAAGGAGAAAGGAAGTACAAACTAGCCCTCGGTCGAGGGTCCACCGCTCTAGGACTAAGCCCCCTCCTCGCCGCGGCCGGGCTGACCACGACGCGCACCCTGCCGCACGCCTCCCGGGACCAGTTGTTCCCACACCGCCCAGCACGCGACACGACCACGGCGGGAAGGAGGCCGGGATGCCGGCAACCGTGCACTCCGGGCCCACGGGCGACCCCCGGACCGCCCCACGCGCCGCCCGCTCGCACTCACCTTCCCGGGCTCCATCGCAGCTTGCAGGCCCGGACCGCCGGGCCAGCGTCCCCGACTCCTAGCAACTGGCAGGCGCGAGCAGCTGAGCGCCGAACGACCGCTGTCCCGCCATGCCGTGCGGCCGCCCCCGGCGCTTCTGTCCTCTCCCAGCTCCTAGCAGTTTGCAGGCATGAGCAGAAGAGCGCCGAGCCACCGCTGTCCCAGAATGCCCCGCGGCCGTCCCCAGCGCGCCTGCGCATCCCTGGCTCCTAGCAACCGACAGGCAGAAGCAACAGAAGGCCGAGCCATTACCGGTCCGGGTAACCAATCCCCCAATACACACAACGCACCACCGTCACCCCCACTCGGTGGGGCGGAAAGGGACGCAGCGCGGTCCGGCTCTCCAGCCCGGTCAGCGTTCGATTGGGTGGGGGCGCGGGCCTCGGTGCGGGAACTAAGCTGGGCTGACCCTCCGGCCTGGCTGGGAGGACCGGAGCTGAGCAGCGTCACTGGACATCTGGAGCTACGACGAGGAAATTGAGGCAGGCTGCTGAGCCGACTGCTACTTAAGCGGCTAAACTCCAATTCCTGGGTGCCTGGGTACCACCAGGTACTTGGAGGGCGTTATACTCAGGTCCTGAGGCAGCATCGGGAAGCTATCTTAACGTCCCACCTCTTCAAAGCAAGAAAATTAAGCACCCCAAAACTCGACTTAGCAAATACACAGTAGATTAGGAGAAGAGCTTTTCATCTGTATATGGATTTGCACCTTAGAATTCATTTTCCCATATATGTCACTGCATAATACACACCCTGTAAGATACTGGGAATCAAAGTATTTGAAAATGTAATTGTTGAAAGCATGATTTTTTATATGAGACAAGAGTACTGAAACATTAAGACAGATACTCTGCATCTCAGATTTATTTTATCAGAATTATTTTATTTGAAGCTTAATATAAAAGTCCATCTTAAATATGCAAGACTGAAGAGGGGTGGTCCTATTCCGGTAATGCACGTTATAACTGATGTTTAGCTATGTTTCCACACGCTGTTTTGCATTTGTTTAGTATGCAAATGTTACTAAGAAAAGATTCCCCTTAATATTTCATGCACACAAAAAAGAGCAGACTCTCAAATCATGCGTTAAGGAGTACATCCCTGAGCATGTTATTAATAGTCTGCGCTTTTGATAGCATGTTTTCCTGGAGATATAAAATTTATTTTGCAGATGTTGTGTTTTTTAATCACATACTATTACGAACCAGTTTACAGTTTTATGGATCTGTCTACTTTGTTCCAGATAAAGGCCATTTACCTAGCTTCTTGCCTTAGAGAAATTAATAGCAGATCCAAAAAGCCTTTTATATTTAATTGTACTCTGGTCCTGGGCATATCACTACTTTCTTTTTCATTCTCATTCTTTAACCCTTTAGGAAGAACATAACAGAAAAGGAAGGTAGGAAAGGCAGTTTCAGTGAGAGCTGTGATATATTGAGGAATTGCTGCAAGTGAGGCACCAAACTCAAACTTTCCATTGGGCCATTCACTTATTTCTTGTGGCATCCCTGTGAGGTAGACCTGTTCATGTTTTTCAGATGAGGAGACTGAAGGCCAGAAAGGTTAATTCACTTGCCTAAACTCACAAAGCCAGGCTGATGGATGGTCTGATGCCAGAGTCCATGCTTTTAAGGACTGTGTCACTCTTTGTCAACCAAGAAAACATCTGATTCTGGAAAAGCTTCGAACTCTGTTGAATATGAGGATAAAGTCATGCATACCGCATGACCGACCTGGGTCTCAAGTGCAACCAGACTCAAGATAATCAGGCGTTAACTCTGCCTCTTATTTCCACTGCCACCCTTCATCAGCAAACAGCATGACTTCGAGCTCCCCAGATGCACCATATTCACAGGCTTGGTGAATGCTGTCTCCTCCTCTTGCTCACTATTTCCAGCACAACTGCTGAATAAATGGCTAAAACAGCCTTTCTCTCCTCAGACCTCCCAAAACAACCATTTTCTAAATAACTCCTTTGATGAGCAGTTCCATTTTATCTTACAATATTTCTTTTATTGTGTTCATTCATTTAGTAGATGCCTTCCTAAGTTCATTTGATGACCTGGGAAGTGACAGAGGGCTAGAGATAGAAAGCTACATGAGCACTCTCTGGACCTCTAGTAGCTCATGATTGCTAGGACAGAGAAATAGGCAAACAGCTGCTAAATAACAGGAATCTATGAGAGCAGTAAGTGAGAAGGTGACAGACGGCTCTCTGGAAGAAAGACTGAGGTTGGGAAGGACACATAATTTCCCAGACAGAGAGGCTGGGAAAGAACATCTTGGGTCCAAGCCCAGAGAGAAGGCGGCTTTGGAGGGTTCCAGGAAATATGATTGTCCCTGGAACTGTGCTGTAGAAGAAAGCATATAGAAATATAATCCAAGCCACATAGATCATTATAAATTATGTAGTAGCCACACTTTAAAAAGTACAAAGAAACAGATGAAATCAAATTTAATAATGTATTTAGTGGGGCGCCTGGGTGGCTCGGTCGTTGGGCATCTGCCTTAGGCTCGGGTCATGATCCCAGGGTCCTGGGATGGAGCCCCGCATCGGGCTCCCTGCTCGGCGGGAGGCCTGCTTCTCCCTCTCCCACTCCCCCTGCTTGTGTTCCCTCTCTCGCTGTGTCTCTCTCTGTCAAATAAATAAATAAGGTCTTTAAAAAAAATAATGATGTATTTAGCCACATACATAATGTTATAATTTTATCATATAATGTATATTTAAAATGTTGAGTTATTTTACTTTTCTTACACTGTCTTCAAAATCCAGTGTGTGTTTTATATTTACAGCACACCTCAGTTCAGACTGGCCACATTTCATGTGCTCAAAGCCCCATGGGCAAGTGGCCTCTGTGTGGAGCAGAGCAGGTGTCCAGCACAGAGTATGTGAGTGAGAGTAGCAGGGGACATATGGAGTGGCATGAGATGGTCAGAGAGGAGGCTGGAAAGGGGGGCACGGCCAGCCGGTGAAGGATCTTGAAATGGCATGATGTGAAGATTTAAAGCATTGTGGGCAATGCTAAGTCATTAAAATGGGAAGAGAATGCTGTGTTTGCAGACTGAAGGACAGGTAGGTTGGAGACAAGTGGGAGCCAACAGTGGGGGCTTCGTGGGGCTTTGCAGCCATTGTGCAGCCTGCTCCTCTGCCCCTTCCCCAAGCTAGCTTTGTTCCAGACCCCCAGAGACAGCTGCGGCCGTCTGCACAGACCCTCCCCTACTCACCTTTGGTCCCACTGGTTTGTTAAAGTTCTCCTATGTCCTCTTTTCTAGAATTTAAACATGTCTGTCCATCTCCCTCACTGGACTGTAAACCAGCTTATAATTCCAGGTTATGATAAAAACAGAACCCTTTTTCACAGTAATAAGCAAATTTGTCACAAAAGTCAAGAACTTTCCTTTCCCAGCCTCTTTGGTTTTCGAGGTCAGGTAAATTTGGTGTCCCTCTAATGCCTGTGTACATGGATATGATAGAAAACCTACCTGTGGGTTTAACGAACTAACATGCTAGTGAGAAGTCTGATCAGCCTCTCATTGGCTGTGTGAACGTAGGAAGTTTGTTTTACTACCTTGTGCTTCAGTTAGCTCTTCAGTAAAATGGGAATTACAAGTACCTGTTCTGTAGAGTAGTCATGAGGATTACATGAGTGATTATGTGAAGTACCCAGAACAGCGCCTATTGCAAACTAAGCACACAGTAAGGTATTAACAAGTTTATTACTGTTATTATGGATTAGCACCTAAGTTATAAACATCTAGGACAGATGAAAATAGGTGGGATACCAAAATTAGAGCCTGCCTTTATCAATTTATAAATTATCTGCTACTGTATGAAACCAAAACTGGAGGACTTCCATCAGTGAAGAGATTGCAGTAGGCAGAACTCTGGCCCTAACAGTCCTGCCCCTGGCATCCACTCTCTTGTTGAACACTCTCTCCTTGAGTGTGAGCAAAATCTGTGAATGTGATGGGATCTACTCCCGTGGTCAGGTTACCGAGGAGTTGACTAAAGTGGTCAAAAGGGAGATAATCCCGGTTGGGCCTGACTTTCCAAAGAAGATGATACATCTGAGAGACACTCCTGTCCTGGAAGAAGATGAAGCAAACTGCGATGCCAGGAGGGGACGAAGGAGGGGGCACGTGGAAGGAACAGAGGGTGACCCCTGGCTGTCGGCCAGCAGAAATTAGGGACTTAAGCCCTACAGCTGCAGTGAACTGAATTCTGCCAACACCCTGAATGAACTTGGGAGGGGATCTCAGATGAAGGTCTCCAAAGGAGACCACAGCTCAGGCAACAAGCCAACACTTGGTTTCACCTAATGAGACCTGAGCAGAGGACTTAATGATGCCATGCACGTATCATCTTCAATAACGATAAAAACTGGAATGGGGCTTGTGACTTGATAGATGGCTTCAGTGGGGTGCTCTAACATGTACCACCTAATTCAGACTCCCCTCCCCAAGAACATCAGGGCCCCCCCTCACATGCATAGAGCTGCCTCTGGGGCTCCTGAGGGCTGAGCTGTATTCAGCAGATAAGTGTAGTCATGGAGATAAGCATAAGGTATAGATAGGATTAACTTGAGGAAGGAGATATCACAAAAGGCTTCACAGAAGTGGAGATATACAAATTGTTTTGAAAGATGAATAGAAGGGGCGCCTGGGTGGCTCAGTCGTTAAGCGTCTGCCTTCGGCTCAGGTCGTGATCCCGGGGTCCTGGGATCGAGCCCCGCATTGGGCTCCCTGCTTGGCGGGAAGCCTGCTTCTCCCTCTCCCACTCCCCCTGTTTGTGTTCCCTCTCTCGCTGTGTCTCTGTCAAATAAATAAATAAAATCTTTAAAAAAAAAAAAAAAAAAAAAAAAAGAAAGATGAATAGGAGTTTTGCATAAGGATAGAGGGAGAAGGGTAGTCCAGACACAGAGAAGAGCAGGTGCAAAGGCACAGACAGGTAACAGCAGGGTTTGGGAGGAATTAGCAGCAGAGCGGACCCTAGATCAGGAGGTGAGGTGAGAGGTAGGATCAAATGTAGACAAGCTCTGTGTATCATGCAGAGGAGCTGTAACTTCACATTAGAAGCAAAGGATATATAAGCAGGGAAGAGATTCAATCAAATCTGCATTTTGAATTGGCCATTTGATAGAAATATGGACTTTTAAAAATGACTTTTGGATTAATTTCGAACTTAGAGAAAATATGCAAATACAAAGCACCCTGTCTCCACTGCCCAGATTCCCACCATGAACCTCCCAGCATATCTGCTCCACTTGTCTGTCATCCAGCATTCATCTGTCTACACGTACACTTACCCATTATTGTTAGACTTGTTCTGAGTCATTTGACAAAGAACTTCAGATAGGATTACTCATCACTCCAAAATACTCCAGTGTTTGTCTTCCCAAAACAAGGGCAGACTCTGCTCCACAGCCTCCCAGTCAGGAAGTCAACATGGTTACAGGTCTGCTGTCTGATCCACAGACCCCCTTGTTCCACCGACTGTCCCAAACACTTCTTTTCCTTCACATCCCAGATCCCACGAGGAACACACGTCGCATGTAGCTGTGTCTCTTCGGTCTCTTGTGATCTGGAATATTTAGTTCCTCAGTGAGAACAGAGGGGACCCTACCCTGCAGCAGCCCCCTGAGTCCCTAGGCCATACTCGAGTCAGGCTTTCTCAAGCTCTCTGGCAAAATGCCCCAGGAAGGCTTCTGTACTCCTCTTTCCCTTTGTAATTGATAAGTATCTCGTAGAAAGTATTCCGGTATTATTCCTCATCAAACTTCCACCTACTGCCCTTAGCCTTCGTTGATAACTTGCTCTTGCACTACTGTGACTGCTAACTGGTGATTTTCCATTTCTGTGACTCCAGTGATTTATTTTCTGTGCATTCCTCACTCGCTCATTCATCTACATCAGAATGGACTCATGGGTTCCTATTTTACTCCCTGGCTTGTAATCTGCCAATGTCATCCTTGATTTTGCTGCTCAGATTGTCCCAGATTTAATCAGCAAGAGCCCTTCAAGTTGCCTACCATGTCCTTTGACAGCACATGATTCTTTGAGCATTTTCTTACCTCCTGGCACAACAAAATATTCCACACTCATCTTGTACTTTCACTGCTCCAGCCCTGAAGTCAACTATTTCTCCAGAGATCCGTGGTTCCTTTTATTGGAAAATGGTATCTAGACGCCAAGATCTGGGAGTTACTTGTACTTACTGGTACAGGGGTACCATTGTTTCTGGACACTCTCAGCAGAGAGAAATAGAAAATATATAAGATAACACACAAATACAGACAATAACTATTTTTGGGTCTCTGTACATGTATGTCAAAACACATGAGTTCATACCTCCTCCAAGTCCAGTCCAACACATGAGGGTTCTTTCTGGACTCTCCCTTTCCATGCTTGTAATATCTTCTCCAACAGCAAGAAACCTGGCTTTCATTATCCTCAGTGTATGTGTTTATTTGCTAATAGACTGGGCTGAGGAGTCTGTCTGCCACCTCAGGTAGGCCTGTCACTGCCTCCTCCATGGTGGGGGGGGATGGTCTCTGTGGAACTTTTAAAGGGCGGGATTAAAGGGCTCCCGGTCAAGTAAGAGATTTCTGTCATGATCTGAGCAAGCAAAAAAAGACCAAGCCTTTTCTGATTCTTTTGGTTGCATAGCACAGAAACCCACTCAGGGCTCAGGTAAAGAATATGGTTGTGTCACCAAAGGAGCATCTTAGAAAAGGTAGGAGTCTTGGTGAGTTTGGTCAGAAAGAGTCCTGGTTAGTAGGATGAAAGGAAGAGAGGCAAAGTGTGATCCCATGGTCTACAACGAAACGTATGTAGAGCTGATAGGGAAGGAGCTAGAACAGGAAGAGGTAGAAGAGGTGGACAGGATAGTTGATAAGGCCCAGACTTAGGCGAGAGGAGAGGTGAAACAAAGCAGAAAAGGTTCAGCTGAAACAGAAGGCAGCTCTTTTCTCTGAAACTTGAAAGGTTGAGGGCAGAGTCTGAAACTTTATAGTTTACTAGATCACTCACAATGATGTTCTTCTTTCCTCTGAAAGCAGTGCCTTTCATTGAGTAAATGTCAGCACAGAAGGTAAGGAAGGAGGTAACATGAAGAGCTTGCAGGAGACTGAGGGGTTTAAAAATACTAGCAAAAACCTAAGAACCAAGCTGGGCCTGTTATTAGGCTCTGTACAGAATGAGATGTGTTCTGCCTTGCTGGTATAATTAAGTACAGGGAAGTGGCCAGAAGTTCTAGGGGTCATGAAGCCAGCTGAGACCGGGAGGCTGATTGGTGTGCAACATGGACACTTCTCTTCAGTGCATTTTACATCGCTAGGCTGCTCAGGTCAAACACTCTATTGCAGATGTGCAAGATTTTTTATGTGGCTGGTGTTCATTCAGATCTTTATAGAATGTGATTCTACGGCTCTTTAGAGGAAAAACCACAGGACAGAAAGGCTCATGCCCCTTCCCGTGTTAACAAGGTAATTGTCTTGAATTTGTAACTTAGTCTTGAGTAAGACTTGGCATTAGAACATTTAGCTGTTGTGGAGGAAAAGGTTTGAGACTTGCCATTTTATATATTTACAACTTAATGTAATATGGTGAAGAGCAAGAAAAGGGGGGGGGGGCGCCTGGGTGGCTCAGTCGTTAAGCGTCTGCCTTCTGCTTGGGTCATGATCCCAGGGTCCTGGGGTCGAGTCCGGCATCAGGCTCCTTGCTCAGCGGGAAGCCTGCTTCTCCCTCTCCCACTCCCCCTGCTTGTGTTCCCTCTCTCGCTGTGTCTCTCTCTGTCAAATAAAGAAATAAAATCTTAAAAAAAAAAAAAAAGAGCAAGAAAAGGAAAACCTCTTCCCTTGCTTGAGGTTTAGTGTCCTTGCCCAAAGTTGAGTGTTCTAGACCCTAGAGCGATGTTTCTGAGATATATTTCTGTATCTCCATGGCCACACACACATATATGCATACGTAATTATATACAGACCTGAAGACAAGGGAAGAAGGGAGGTATTGTTTATTCATTCAGGTGCTAGCCTGGAGACATGATGGTAAACGTAATAAATACGGTTGTTGCCCTCACGGAACTTAAAGCCTAGTTGAACCATTAATGAGACGCTGACAATGCCATCCATGCACGCCAGTGCTTCCCCCACCCAAAAAGCTCCTGCTAGCATCAAGTCTTTGATCAGCTGTTTTGCTGACAGTGCTGTGATGGCAGTTTGGTCTGCAGCGGGCAGTCTTCCCCACCTTACCGGCTTTCACTCTGCACAGCAAAGCAGTCTGCGGAGTGTCACTGTTTTGTCCCGAAGACACCAGGCTTTGTCCCTGCAGCCATCACAGTTACCAAGTTGTTATTCCAGGATCCCTGCAATACAGCAGGGAAGAACTCGTGTGACACGAGGCGCTCACGCCAATCAGGAGCTTAAAAAGAGTGTGCGCTAAGTTCCTGCCCTTCCTAAAGATGGTCAAGGTGCCCAGCAACACAGACTTGAGGAGTGAGAAGGGGAAAACTAGCTCTATTGTTATACCTTGAATCAAAGTTTCCTTGGAAGCCGAACTGGGAATTACCCTGATCGAGTTTACTGGAAAACAAGGTAATCACGGGGTGCGACGTCTTCTCAGACACCGCAGGCAGCGTCCGAGCTCGGAAGCAGCGAGTCGGCCAGGACCAACCCCTTTCACGAAGCTGCACGACGTTCCGCTCGGAAGCAGGTGCTGGGCTCGAGCGGAAGCGCTTCACGTTCCGTACGCGGGGCAGGCCGCCCCTGCTGTCTCTCACACCCCCGGAACAGCTGAGCGGCCCCAAACAGAAAGCGCCCTGCCTCCGTGGCGACCCCCCACCAGAACGGCGACCCCTCTGCTTTAGAGCGCGGCTCTATCCGACCCCTCGGGAGTGCGTACGGTTTCTCAGAAAAGTTATCAAACAGGAATTGCCGAAAAGCGGGCAGTTCTCACACCCACGCGGGAACGCGCACTTCTCGTCCCCCCGCCCCCGGCAGGCAGCGACCGCGCGGGGGCCGAAGCCCGAGCCCGCCCCGCGCGGTGACGTCACGCGCAGGCCCCCACCCGCCCCCGCCTGAGAGGGCGGCCTACCGCCCTGCGGAAGCGTAAGGAAGTCGGGCCCGCTCACGCAGCGAAGGTACGTGCTCTAGACGCAGGGCCGCGCCCGACCGTCGCGGTGGCGCGCCCCGTCCCGCCTACCCCACGTGACGACGCGCCGGGCCGCCTTAGCGGCGCCGCGCACGCTGTCTTCCCGCCCGCCCCCGCGGTGAGGTAGCAGTCCGGCCCCGCCCACCCACCGTGAATACGTGGCTCGGGTCCAGGGCCTCGCCGGGCCGCCTCAGTGGCGCCCCACCCCGCGCGATGACGTTCGCGCCGATCCCGCGCTTACTCCCGCCTCGAGTGGCGTCCGCACGATGGCGTCACCCATCAGCCCCCGCCCGCCCCGCGCCGGAACCAGGCCCAGGGCCG